TGTTACAAGCTCAGATCTGAACTCATGATCACAGAACAAGTGCTTTAGCCCCTGAGACCTCTCTCTAGTCTCCACTCTTGCTACCTCTTCCCAAGGAGAAGGGCTGAAATGAACCAGCCCAAATTAGATATTCCTAGGGACCTACTATTGACGTCCCACAAGGCCTAGTCTGGGGAAGCCATGGGACCAGGGGTGGGTGGTAGCTCTGGTTGACTGAAAATGAACACCATCGATATTCTCCCTTTGTATAACCTTAGGCTCCCACTGGTCCCATCCAGATGCTAACCTCCTCTTTCTAAAAACCTCATGAGACTCGGGCATCTTAAAAGCAATCCTCTAACACTCACAGTAATGCAGAAGCATGAACTCCAGAACCCTGTGCACCTTGAATTGTGTTAGAGGATTTGGGTCAAGGCAGTGTCCTGGCTGAATGAACCCTAAAGTCCAGACTCCTGAATTCCTGATGGCCATCAGGTAGAGGAAGCCCAGAGTCTAGCAAGCCTGGAGGTGGGGTGGGGAGGGGGAATGTAAAACCAGATGTAACACGGCAGAGCAAAATCAATCAGTCCTACAGCCAATGTTACTGGGTCTATGGCACTGCCCTTGCTCCTTATGACGGACAGGTGTGTGCTTGCATCGTGGAGAAGCAGCGGTGTCCTTCGTCTGTAGTTGCAGATGCCTGCATAGCTCGGTGGGTAAGGCAGTCTCAGACACACATCACCAGCATCTCCCTCCCAGACGACAGTGAGCAGACGGCCCTGGAAATACCAAGCCCACCCCTGTGTCTTTCAGGCCCCCTACTCTTACCTCCTTCTCGACACACCGCTGCAGAAGTGTGCAGCACAGAGAACGGGGCTTCTGGAGAGGGGACCACACTGTTTTTACTTCCAGCTTCAACTCTCCCCGCCCCTAAGAATCATCTACAAGGTCTGAGGATGTGGGGCTCAGTTGCCCTGGGTCTCTGCCCCAGCACCACATAAACTGGGCCAGTGCTGGCTGGCTGTGATCCTTGTCCTCAGGAAGTGAGGCAGGAGGGTCAGAAGTCATCCTCAGCTATACACGGAGTGCAGTCAGCTTGGGCTGTGTGAGACCCTGCTCCTCAAACCAACAAATAAACAAACAGAAGGACCCTCATAAACATCCAAGGCAGGCTGATGCGACATCTCAGCAGGTAAGGGAGCTTGCTGCCAAGCCCGAGGAACCGAGGTTCCTGTCCCCAGAACCCAAGGTAGGAGGAGACAACTAACTCCCAAAAGCTGGCCTCTGACCTCTACACACATGCACACACTAATAGTAAATAAAACAAAATAAAAATAAGTCGTCCTACACAGAGTTGGGGAAGTCAAGGTCGGGTCCTGGCTTTGATCTCAGGCTTGTCCTTCCCTTTCCTTGGGCCTCAGTTTCCCCATTTGCAACAGTAGCAGATTGGACTTCTGAAGCTGAGACCCCTGCTGGTTCCAACCAACATCCTAGGTCCACAAGTGACCAGCATGCAAATGTGAGGGCAGCTGAGCCTGTGAATCTAGGCCAGGGCATACAGGAGCCCAAGTAAACAGCTGAGCGGCAGCAGGCAGAGCACCAGGGCTAACCAGCTGCTCTGAGACAGGGCTGGGGCTTGAGAAAACAGAATGAGGAGTCCACCCAAGGTGCGGTGGCTGGGACAGCTTAGCATATGCCCACCTGTCAGATCTCTGGTCCTGGTCTTGAGCCATCTGGAAGTGGCTATGGCAGCCTGGCCTGTGGCGGGGGAAGGAAAACCAAACAAGCACTGCCAGGAGGGGAGGCCTGGTGCCAAGGCCTGGAAAAGAACACTGCCAGGCCAAGCTAGGCTGTGCCACCTGTCCAGGCTGGGGAGAAGCAGCACTCAGTGGAACGTCCAGAAAGACCCAGTGGCTAAGAAATCATCCGACCTGACTCCAGCGTGGCCAGCCCTGCTGGGGATCACATGGAGAATCCCGGAAGGAGTTTGGGCATACCCCCCCCCCCGACTGCTGGCCCTTCTGAGTTACACGGGTCTCTCGAAGTGGTGGGTGGACAGCTGGCAGCCCCCCCTCTCCACCTGCCACACTGCAGGGCCCTCCTGTAAGCCCCAGGCAATGAGAGAATCTGGACTCAGAGGGTGCTCTTGAGGCTGCTAAGTGCAGAATGTACTCCCTTGTGTGCCCGAGGACCAACCACAAAAGTGAAAGGAAACAGCAGCCAGACACAGGCTCCTCACACCCCATTGGGAAGACACTGGAACTTTACAGCATCTCGAATTCCCTAGAATTGTGATCTGTGGCTGCACCAAGAGGAGCCCAGAGCCCAAGCCCTTCCATTTCTCTAGCCCAAGGGATGGGAGAGGGCTGGCTGCCAGCCTCAGAATAGGGAAGGGCAAAAATGCAGAAGCATGGTGGTGTAAACCTGGAACTCCCCCTCCCTCCAGGGCAAGCTGCCCATAGAGGACAGGTGGTCAGTAGGGGCCACCTCTTCTGTCCCCAGCGTAGATGGAGAAAGTCCTGAGCCTGGGACATCTGGAACCCACGCAACATCTGGAGGGTGCAGGGCCCTGCCAACATGCTGGGAACTCGTGGGCTCTCTGGTGGGAAAAAGGGTGACTATTTGGGCCTCCCGTGGAGCCCAGGAATCTTGCCCTTGAGCATCCGGCACACGTGAAGGTCACAAGTTAATGCTTGCCTCCTGTATGGTCTCCTAACCAGAGCCCTCTGCGTCCCTGCTGTCCAGCCCACAGCCTGGTTTCCTGCTCCTAGCTGTCTGTCCGAATTGAGTTCGAGGAAGTCTGCTTGCTGCTGCTGTGTCTTGCCTAGTGCTGGGGGTGGAACTCAGGGCCTCACACAACAAGTAAGCACTCTACCACTGAGACCACACCCACACCCCCCACACACACCCACACACACACCCACACCCACACCCACACCCCCCCACACACACCCACACACACACTCACACACACACACACACACACACACACACACGAATTATCTTAACCTTGTGATCAAACGACTCCCCTGTCTTAAGACCTGGAGTGGAGTGTGTCCACACTGTCCACCTTGGGCAGCTCCTGGCCCACAGAAAATGCTCGGTCCACCTCTGCCCACCTCTGTGGGATGCTCCAATACAACACTTGGCCTGCCTAGTCCATCTCATCATGGACCCCCAGGCTTTTAACTTCCCCTCTCAACCCTCCCACAAACCCACCCTCACAACCTGAACGGCACCCCACCCAGTACATCTCCATACTTATGCACCTCTATATTACTGGCTTTTGCCATCTTGGCAGCTCTGACACCTTCCTCTCCTGTCTCCCAAGGCATGACAATGTCCTGGTGACTACACCAGTGCTAATATAACGAACTACACAGTATGTGCCACCAACGCCTCATCACTGCCTAGGGGCCTACCACTCCCTTCTCAGAGGAGGTGACTGTCCATCCTCCATCTCACAGCCAACAGGAGCACAGTGGGACTGCAGCATCCGTCACCCTCTAGGACCCTTGCCAGATCTACCGCTGACTCCCTGGATTTCCTCATTGGGCAGGCCTGGCCTTGGGTGATTCCCAGCTACTAACAGATTCACCACCAGCCTCTCTTTCCCTCCAGTCATCTCTGTCTTTAGGTCTGAGTTCAGGGAGCCTTTGTCAGTTCTGAGAAAGATATTTAGAAGGAAGGACCCCGTCCTTGAGCCACAGGTCTCAGGGGGGGAAGCTGTTTGACGCTTCTGTTAAGAGGCCAACCTTCAAGCTAGCCTTCCAAACAAAAGCCAGGGGAGGCCCTGGAGTGGACAGGAGGGGGTCCCTGCACCTGCAAGCTTTCATGGTCTCACCTACCTAGGCCCTGGCCCCTTCACTGTGCTCTGGACTCCCATCCCTAAGGTTCCTAGATTGGCCAAGGACCTGGCTCAGAGCCACGCTCATCAGAGGGGGAGGAAACCACCACCTTGCAGGGTTCCCCATAGCAGTTTCCAGGACAGATCTCCTGTTCCTGCCCTGTGGCTGAGAGAAATTTTCTCTTAAAGTGGCCAACGTGGTAATCAGACATGGCATTCCGTTCTCAAATGCACCCCCAACACTCACGTCAAGTATGGGCAAACTTACTCTCTCATAGGTATCCTATCTCCCTTGAACCCTGTAACTCACCTACAGAGTCCCCGGTCTCCTGTTCAAGAAGGCCTAGCCTCAGCCCAAGGCTCTGTCATTCCTATTTTACTGGTAAAGAAACCAAGGATCCTGGAGGACCCCTGGCTCTCCACCCCTCCATTGCTTCTACAAGCACGAATCTTAACCCGGTAACAGAAATAAGAGTAGTTGGTGTCCACTGCCACATACAAGGACGGGCTCATGAGACCAAAGAGGTGCCCCTCAAAAGCACCAGTGCCCAGGTGCCTCTGTCCAGGCCTAGGCAGATGGCACCTGTCCCCACCAACAGGGCCCCCCCCCCCGAGGCTGAAGCTGGAGCCATGCGGGGAGGCGGGAGTACCCCCCACTGGCCGGGGGCGGCTGAAGAGGGTGTGGGGCTCGGAGTCCCCTGGGGTACAGGTTCTGCATGATGCTCCGGGGATCACGGACACCCGACTGGGGCCCCACGGGACAGCCCTCGGCGCGATGGCGCAGACTCACCCGGGAAGCAGCGGGTCGCACTGGGTCTCGGCCCGGGGCTGGGGGTTCCGCGACACCCCCACCCCAGGCAATCATGGGCCACGGAGCCGGAGCCGGGGAGCCCAGCGTGGAGAGGGCGCGCAGTCTGGGGAGTGCGGTGGAAAGTAGGCAGTACGTCCCAAAGCTCGGAGAGTTGGAGGGAGGGACCCAGGGCGCTCTCAGGAGGCGCCGCCCACCTGCCCACCCTGCGCCCGGGGCGGAGCAGGCTGGATGGCCTGGCACTGCGCAGGGCAGTGTAGGGTCCCGGACCTAGCACTCTGCGGCGCGGGGATGGCTGTCTAGCGCTACACTTGCAGGGTAATGGGAGCTGGAAGTCCTTGCGACCTCACCTGGCAGTAAACTCACCTTCCTGTGCGCACAGGCGGCCGCCTCCTCTCCACCCGCAGCTCCCGGCCGCCCAGCCCAATGATGGGCGGTAGAGGGTAGGAGGAAGGAAGCGAGGTTTTCCCAGCTCTCAGCTCACGCCCTCGGCCAGCTCCCCACTCTCGGGTCTCCCGGACGCTCTCCGGATCTCCACTTTGAGCCCCAACTCGGGTGGAGCGTGAGGCCCGGGAATGTCCCCATAAGGGGCGCGTTCCCAGCTTGGCAGAAAACTTTCCAGCGAATCACAGACTGGCTTCTCCCTCCGCCTGGAGGCGGGGAGGGTCCTCTGACTTGAGAGCCGTCTCACCTGCTTGGAAGTTTGCCTGGGAACCCCGCGACTCCAGGCACGTATCTGCGTCCCCTGCTAGCTTTGAATTCCGGCGTGGATCGGGCCAGGGTCCCCTTCGTGGGTGCGCGTCCAACTCTTTGAAGCTGAAGGCCTTAGAAGTTCTTGGGCAGCCCGGTGTCAAAGAATCTGGTTGGGACCAAAGGCGCCTCCTACTGGGGATGATCGCTTTCTGGACAAGCTGCACAGTTTGGCTGCAGCCAAATTCACTTGGAATTCCTGGGTACTCCCAGCACGCAAATTCACGGTGCTGTATACTTCCGGAGTCCAAGCACACACGTCCTTTAACTTGCAGTTAGCAAGTTAGCAAGAGATTGATTTGGGGATGGCTTGTGATTCGGGAGGCAAAAGGCATTTTTGGAAACAGAGGCTTGGAGCACAAAAGTAGCTGCTAGACGTCACATCCTTACTCTGAACCCGGCCTGGGTTCCCACCTGCTCCCTTGACCATTCTCCCACAACCCCTCACAAACCTGCAGATAGTTACTGGTTGCAACGCCCAGGCCTCTAAGTTGCATTTCACCCTGACAGACTCGAGGCAGGTCATTCAGACAGTCTCAAAGGAATACTGGTACTTTTCCATGCCCGGATCCAGCCCCAGACCCGCCCCACTCGGCATCTCATCCAGCTGGGCGGGTCTGTGTATCTCGTCTATCTCGGAAAACCATCTTCCAAGTGGGGAGAGGCCAAAAACGTCACAGCCGAAGCTGAGCTACCGGCAAAGCCAAGAGAGAGTGGAAAGGAAGTGTGCTCTGTTCATACCTCCCCTGTTCAGCCCTCTGCCTCCATGTGGTTCTTTCCCTGGGTCTTCCCGCAATGGAGCGGCTGGCCAGTTTACCCCACTACATGTCAGCTCACCAGGGCCGCAGACGTGTGTCCTTAGGGGAAACGATCCAAAGACATGAATCTCAAAACAGTGACTTTCTATTATCTATTGTGCCCGACAGCAGAAGTAGGCATTAGATACAGCTTCTGGAAAGGCGCCATTAGCCAAGCGATTTTAGCATCCTGTAAGAGTTGGAAAAAGTAAGAGTAGATCCTGTGCTAGAAAGCCCAGGAGGGTCTTTACTGGTGCTGTGCTGTGCTGTGCTGGCAGTGATTTTGGCCTGGGGGAAGCTGGTACCCGGCCTCCAGAACTGTAACATTAAGTAACCGTGTTGCTCTAAGCCATGCATCAGCTTCTGGCACTTGGTTACAGCAGCCCCCGGGATGAAGCCATCTAACAGTCTCAGCTGTACAGGCCAAAGCTGATTTCACCGGCCCTTCTGCTGACTGTCCACTGTGAAGTCCCTCTCTCAAGAGGCACCAGGATATATCCTGAATCCTGGATTTAGCAAGAGGATAAGATTTCATCAGAGCTATCTTTATTTTATTTATTTATTTTTGGCTTCTCTGCCATTTGTGAACTGTGTGACCTTGGGGAAATGTCTTATCCTCTCTGGGCCCCGGTTTCTTTCGTTAGATGTCAAAACAATGATGCCAACTGGGTACATGGGGGACATGTGCCTGTGACCTCAGATCTTGAGATGCTGAGGCAGGAGGATTGCACATTTGAGGCCGCTTTGGGTAACCTTCTTTTGTTACTAGTGAGGATTGAGGCTTGGGCCTCATGCGTGTGAGCTGACTATTTTACCATTAAACTACATCTCCAATCCTAGCTTGACTAACTTAATGAGACTCTCTCCAAAACAATAAACCAATTAATTTAGTCAAGTAATTCTTTCAATGGGGGCTGAAGGTGTAGCTCAGTGGGCAGAGTGTTTGCCCTACCTATGTTCTCTAGCAGGGCATAAACCCCAGTGGAGTGCCACACTCCTGTAATTCCAACTCTAAGGAGATGGAGGCAGGAGGATCAAAATTGTAAGCTCACCCTCAGAAACACAGGTAAGTTTGAGAGCTGCATGGTATCCTGTCTTTCGGGGGTGATGGCGATGATGAATGCCCAGCCCCATGCTTGGCCCTGGGGTCCTACCCTCAGCCCATAAAGCACAAAAACAAAATAAAAATAGTGATGCTAAAAATACCCCCTTGCAGGATCAATATGAGGATCAGATGGAGCAGACCGTGACGGAGCTCTGTGTGAGTCCCTGTGTCGTCTGAGGGGCAGTTGTTGGGGACACTGGCCTGCCCGCTCCTGAACACAGGGCTCTTCAGAGTAGACCTGTCTAGCAGGCCCTTTCCTGAACTCTGGCTGAGTGGGGAAGTGATACTTAAGAATGAAAGTCTAGCTGGGCTTGGTGGTATACGCCTGTAGTTCTGGCATTTGGGAACAAACGCAGGAAGATCAGAAGTTCAAGGTCACTCTTCTTACACAACAAATTTGAGGATTGCTCTTTGTGAGAGTCTGTCTACACACACACACACACAGACAGAGGCAGAGAGACAGAGAGACAGAGACAGAGACAGAGAGACAGTAAGAGAGAGACAGAGAGAGACAGAGAGAGAATCCAACCAACCAAACAAACAAATAAACAAACAAAAAAGCCCCACTATTTAAAAGAAAAAAATACATCACCTGGGTAGTTGTGATGCACACCTTTAATCCAAGCACTCTGGAGGCAGAGGCAGGTGGATCTTTGTGAGTTTGAGGCCAGCCTGGTCTACAAAGCGAGCTCCAGGACAGCAAGGGCTGACACAGAAACCCTGTCTGGAAAAACAAAAAAACAAAACCAAAATAAAGAGCCATACATTGTCACTGGTCGTGACTAGATAGGCCCCTTTCTGATCATGTGTAAATGGAAAGGAAAATATCTCTTCACTAAGAAAATGTGCTCAATGGCCAGCAAGATGGCCCGATGGGTGAGGGCAAAGTGCTTGCTGGGTAAGCCTGACGCCCTGAGTTCGATCCCCAGTCCCAAGTGTAGGTGGAAGGACAGATCTAACTCCACAGAGTTGTCCTCTGACCACCACGTGAACACTGTGGCATAGCTGTGCCCCACCCATCATAGAGCAATGCCCTCCCACGTAATAGTAACAGTGGTTTTATGTGTTCTGGGCCAGCAGGATGGCTGAGTGGGTAAACCACATTGACCTGAATTTGATCCTCAGGAGCCATACGGCAGGAGAGACAGACTCCCAAAAGTTGTCCTCTGACCTCCACATGTGCGTGTGTGAGCATAAACACATAATTTTTTTAAAAAGGTAATTTCAACTTTTCAATATGTTTCTAACATTTAGATGTTGGTGAGGAGTCAGCTGTTAGCCCTGTGCCGTCCATTGCTGGCTGTGGCCTTTGCCATCTGTCACCGTTTTCCCTCCCAGGTCCCTGTTTTAACCCACTTACTTTTTTTTAAACAGAAATCACTGTGTACTCAGACTTACCTTGAAGTCACCATCCTCCTGCCTCAGCCTCCTGAGTACAGATTCCCAATTGCTCTAACTAGGATCTCATCTTTGCACCCTGCAAGAGCTGAGCCCAAACTTCTTTGCTGATGACTGTCCCACAGTCAGCAGTAGGTCACATATGTGTGTGACCTGGCCTCAGACCGGGCCATCCCTACTGTTCACCAGGAAGTGGCACGTCTTCAGGAGTGACATAGTTGTCCAGTCTCTCTGAAGGCTGACAGCTCCTTGTAGCAGACCAACTGTCCACATGGTGCCATGCAACATCAGAGAGTGGGAACATTTGTTTAAAGGAAACAGTTCCTGCCTCATTTCCTGAAAAAAAATTAATTTCAGAAATCGGTCCTACTCTCCCAGTGTCATTGGCCAGTGGGGGCAAGCCAGACAGCTGGGAACAGAGCCTGGGAGGACATCCCAACATTTGACACACCTTCTCCTGTCCTGTTCTGTCTTTTTGAGGCAAGGTCTTATTATGTAACCTCGGCTGGCCTGGAGATTGCTATGTAGAGCATGCTGGCCTGGTGATGGGGATGTCCTTCCATATGCTGTGCACATGCGTTTCTCCTGTTGGTTGATGAATAAAGCTGTTTCAGTCAATGGACAGGCAGGATGTAGCCAGGCAGAAAGCATAGGCAGGACTGTCAGACAAGGAGAATTCTGGGAAGAGGAACGTAGAGGGTGAGTTGAGAGGAGACACCATGGAAGCTGCCAAAGAAGGAAGAGGCCCGGGCATCACCAGTAAGTCAAGAGTGCTTGGAGATACATAGATTAATGGAAATGAGTTAATAATTAAGAGAGAGGTAGCCAATAAGAAGCCTGGGTCATTGTCCAAACAATTTATAATTAATACAGCCTCTGTGTGTTTATTTGGGACTAGACAGCTGCAGGACCGGGCAGGACAGACACTTCTGTCTACAGTCTGGAATGTGTGGAGTGCCTCCCACTTTTGCCTCTGAATGCTGGGATTCCAGATGTGCACTACCATGCCTGGCAGGCAACGGTTCTTGAGACCCCTGATTATACAGAACCAGAGGCTCCATCTCTTACCACCAGATGTGTATATGTAGGCTTGCAGAAATGGCCCCCTGTGCCTCATTCCTCCCTCCAAATCAGTGGTCTGCATTGCTAAGTTGAGGATGTGTGGTGCAGATTTTAGCCCATTCCCACTGCCTCAAGTCCAGCTTCCCCAGCAAGGACACACTAGACTTCTCACTTTTCAACATGACATGATGCTCAGCCTTGAGACTCGTCGCCTTAGATCACAAACTGGGCCATCCCCTCTTCCGGTGTCTCTCTCTTCACTAGTGATACTGTTCTTGAATGGATGCTCCTGTCAAAGTTCCTTGGCTTGCTGTATTGGCAGGGCCCCTTATGGTGGCTGTGACTCTCGGGGTCACCCAGGAGCACTGGGGATCACACGGAAGCCTCACCTAGACATGGGGGCACTGCAGGGGAAGGTGGCTACAGCGGTGGCTGCCAGTGTTAGGACACTGCTACCACCTAGGCTTGCCTTCCATCTGCAGAGGGAGGGAGACAGAAGCCACATGCTAGTTGTGGCCTGCCAGCCCCCAGGGCTCTGCAGAATTCCTGTGTTTTTTTTCCCCCTGACTTTCTTCTGGCTTAAGGCTTAAGTTAGTCTGAGGGCATTCTGGCTAGTTTTTGTCAACTTAACACTAGCTAGAAAGAGAGAGCCTCAATTTAGGGATTACTTCCATCAGACTGGCCTGTGGGCGTGTCTATGGGGGCATTTTCTTGATTGACAAGGGAGAGCCTAAACCGCAATGAGTGGTGCCATCCCTCAGCAGGCGGTTGTGGATTCTATAAGGAAGCAGGGTAAGCAAAGCATGGAGAGTAAGCCAGAAAGCAGGGCTCCTCCATGGACTGCCTTGAGCTCCCGCCCTGGCTTCCATTGATGATGGACTGTAAGCTGTAAGATGAAACAAACCCTTTCCTCTCCTGGTTGGTTTGGTTGGTGTTTTACTACAGTAGGAGAGACGCAAACTAGAACAGAGGGTTTTCCATTTCTTACACCAAAAGGACCTGAAAACCACGTTGAAGCCTGAACCAGCAGTAGGGAGGGATCAGCAGTGGGAGGGACCCTCAGTGGGAGGAACTTTCAGTGGGAGGGACCCGCAGAGGGAGGGATCCGCAGAGGGAGGGACACGCATGCAGAGGGAGGGACCCGCAATGGGAGGGAACCCTAGTGTAAAGGCAGCACTAGAGGTCAGGCCAAGATGCTGTGCCAGCTTGGCTCTGCTGCCAGTTGGTAAGTGATTTGAAATCACTTGGGCAGCATGAGGATCCCCTGTGATTTAGACACGAAAGAAATAAACTCAACCCTTAGGCAGAGAAACGGCAATTAACATCCACTCTAAAGCTGAAAGGTGGCTGGCTATACGATTATACACAGCCGTGCAAAACAAGGAGCCTTGTGGTGGAGGATGCTTAAAGGACAAAGGCTGTGGACGCGGTGACAGAGGACGCCTGGGGCTTGCTGGTCAGTCGGTCTAGCCTAATCTGCGAGCCCCAGATGCTAGCTGTCCCCCTTTGTTCCTCATAGTCGTGACTCAAGATGTAAGCTCTCAGCCACTGCAGTAGGAAAGTAGCTAAGGCACTTTAAGGTTGCACATTAAAACTGTGAGGGAAAATAAACCCCTCCTTCCTTCTTCCCTTTTTTAACTTCCTTTCTCAGATATTTATTCACAGCATGTGAAAAATAAAGCAGAGCTCAGACGGGCCTTGAACTTACGATCTGCCCCCCTCAACCTTCCCAGCAGCAGGGGTTATGCATAGGCAAGCACTATGCCC